GTTGCAATCCCGTTGCCGGTCCCCGGTCCGGTACGGGGGCAACACTGAGGGTTGCAATCTGATGCCGGACACGGAAAAAAGACAAAAGACAAAAAAAAAAAATTCATAAGCAGATTCCAAGCTCACTGAGAGAAGCACCTTGAGGCACTTACCCTTTCTTGTACTTCTCAATAGTAATAGACAAAGAAGTCCATCTACCTGCAACTTGCGGTTTCTGAGTATGTGTGTGTGTTCCATGAATCTTCAATAGGAAAAAAAGTATAACCACTGACTTTTGCACTTAAAACACAAATGGAAAAATATATATTTATTTATGAAAACAAAAAAAGCTGAGTCACATGGACACACCATTTATTACCACCTGATACATACCAAGCACTGTCTAAAAAAGGACACTTCAAAAAGTTCATGGGAAGATTTGTATTATCTTTTCATTCTGTTTTTCCATGATCTTTTGAAGTACCCTCTCATATAACATATAAGGTTGTTTCTTTACTGCTGGAAAATACCTACTGGCTCTTTATGCTACCATCTTAGATGCGTTCATCCATGTGTTTAAGTCACTACTAAAACATACATGAAAGTCTCTGTCATTTAAATGGGTCAGTTGTTCCTGGATTGCTTAACTAACTGTACACTTAAGCCTTTGTCTTGCTGCATATACACATTAAAAAAAAGCTGCTTGCTTGTAAATAATTTACAAGGGGCACTGCTGTCCCACATAAGTCAGTGGTTTGAGAAGACTGTAATCATTGGTTTACAAAGTTTATAACACACACTAGCTCCTGCTATAAAGAGAAGGCTGTCCCTGCTATGTCCCTGGTGCATTCTACTTGCCCACTTCAATAACAAATCCAAGAGAACCAATGTGTACACCTGCTGCTGTTCTGCTGCTAGAGGAACTATCTTTGACTCTGAGGTTTATACTTGTGATGTTTAAGTAAGACCTAAATAGAGTGAGTTCTGTCATTTTTTTGTGATTCAAGCTACCTAAAAACTAAATCAGGGTCAGTTTTAGTGAAGAAAATGTGCCAGGAGACTTGGAATGTCCTCTAAATCCTTAAACAAACTTTGCATTGAAAACAAACTGCTGAAAGAAATATAACTACATGCCTTTAAAATGAGACCTCAGAAATTAATGGATATAAAGCAGTTAGTAAACGCTCATGACCTCCCCCCTCCCCTACTTAACGAAGGCACCTATTCACCAGAAATAAAATTTTATTAGTAACAGGTCAAATGTGTTTTTAAAATACAGTTATCTTTCGTTTTCCTCATAGTTTAAAAAACAATCAAATAACAGCTCTAAACGATGACCCAAATATTTTTAAATGTGAAAAACACATATTTTTGATTATGTAACAGATACACATTTTCCCAAATGTTGTAGAACGCCATCTGCTTGATATTTGAATGCATTCCCACAGAACTAAATTTCTGCCTCTCTTCATTAATGGTTTATGACAAATTTATGACACTATATTTCACAATAGCTATACCAAAAATTTATGACCAAAAGAGAGCCTGACAAAAATCACTTGGCATTCTCAAATTAGAGAATTTATGCAACTCTCTCATTTACATCAATCCTCCACTCCTTACTGAGACCCTACAATTGAGGAAAAACAAGAATTCCATAGCAGGGAAGGATCTCTCATAGAATACAGCTCAAGAAAGAGTTCAAGACAAGAAGTTAAAGATCTAGGTGCCATTTTTCATCTTACATTTACCAGATTCAGCTCATACAGCCACCCAGAATTCCAAATTTAAATAAAATGTTTTTGTAAGATTTTCTCAGATTTAGCCAAGCCACAAATTGCCAAATTCTTATTAACTATGGACAAAATTTTATCTTTGTTCTAATGTTACCAAAAGTAGCTCTCTTATCTGGGTATAATCAAAGGAAAAAATCGAGGAGAGAAATTTACCAAACTTACCATGTATTATTTCCCAACTTATAAGGATAGTACATGACTGTATCCATGTTCATTTTCTGCACTTGGTGTAGATAAAACTTACAAGAGAAGTATTTTCCATTAATTTTACTACACAGAGTATTATATTTGTGGCAAATTCAGAAAACCAGAATTATGGCCTTATGTTACTTACTTTTTGCCTTTTATTTATTTAAAGAAAAATATTTCTGTGAAAAACAGACCTGAATACACATTCTTTGAAAAAGTAAGAGTACAGGCTGGATGTGCATTTTCATGCTCAAATGATGAAGCGTCTCACTACTCCACGTGTGGTCAGTGGATCAGGAGCATCTGCATCACCTGGGAGATTTAATAAATGAAGACTCTCGGGCCCCATCCCAGACCTGCTAAAAGGAATATGTATTTTAATAAGTTCCTTAGTGACTGTATGCTCAAGAGGATTTCCGAAGCACTAATGTAAAATAACATTTGAATCCACCCAACTGTAGGGTAATCCTAGGGGAAAGACAGAGTTACTTTAATGGAGCAATTTTGTCCAGCAGGGAATGTAACAACTTGTAGACATTGTCCACTTAATAAAGAAATAAAAAATTTGAAACTTGTCAAGCTACTGATGTACAGTAATAAAGTTTGAGAAAACTATGTAAATTAAAATGACATATATTACAGTTGTTCATGAACTGCTTGAATTAATTACACACAATCTTCCATAGTTTCCAATCTATTTTCTTTAGCAAAACATATACAACCGTTAACTAATTCTATAAACATGAGGATCACCTTAGTAAACAATTATTTAATGACCAAGTAGTTTTAAAAAGAATTGTGTACAGCCAATAATGACTATGTTACTGTGATGAATTGTACTTTGATACACAATGGAAACCCCAGAGGAGTTCAGCCAGTACTGCACATTGTTGCTTTCCTCCAAGTGCCCTTGAGTAAATCAGTATCAAAGCTACCAGGCAAGGTGGGGAAGAAAAATAGAACTATAACTTTCACCTACAGTGGACTGCAGAGACTGGGAGTCAGGCTGTGTTTCAGAGAGGAACCCAATGGGAGAGAAGGAAGAAGGTCTGGTGGCTTGTGTTAAGAAATCTGGAGATTGGGCCCACCCCGTGGCTCATTCGGGAGAGTGCGGCACTGGTAGCGCCGTCACCGCGGGTTCGGATCCTATATAGGGATGGCCGGTGCGCTCACTGGCTGAGCGTGGTGTGGGAGACACCAAGCCAAGGGTTACGATCCCCTTACTGGTCACAAAAAAAAAAAAAAAAAGAAAGAAATCTGGAGATTCATTCAAGGAATTCACCAGCACAAGGCAAATTAGAGAAAGCTGCCCCTCTGACCTTGCATACACCATATAAAACTCTCAGGCTGTGATTTACTGATTCATTTCTCCTTTTTTTTTTTGTCCTTTTTGAGACCGGCCACTCTGCGCTCAGCCAGTGAGCGCTGTGAGCGCACCGGTCATCCCTATATAGGATCCAAACCTGCGGCGGGAGCGCCACTGCGCTCCCAGCGCCGCACTCTCCCGAGTGCGCCACAGGCTCGGCCCTCATTTCTCCTTTAAGGCTCTCCTTGAAATTAATATTCACCTCAGTTGCTGTGCAAAAGAACGTGAAACTGGAGAGGTGAGGAGGGAAAGAATTGTTCCATACTTCCATGTCCCCCTACCAACCCTAGAGAAATGCCCCAGAGATGAGCTAAGACCAGCCACACTTCCCCTATGCAATAGTGGCTTCCTATTATGCTTCCAACGATAAAATAAAATATGCTGCAAAGCAGAATGTATACATTGCTTTCACTTGACCATCTGGGTTAGTGCACCTTCCCTTCTCCCTGTGTGTCTTCTCACCTGCAAACACTTTTGGAGATACACATTTAATAACCATCCCAGTTTGGAAAAGAGAAATTCAAGTGCTGCTCCCAATAAAGAGCTCTTACTTTTAGAACAAAACCAAATCATTCATGTTCCAGGGCTGCACATCAGTTGCTTCTGTACCCCCAGCCCTTGCACAGACCTGCCTCATAATAGTTGCTCAATAAATGGTAGTGAATTGCACTGATTTCCAAGTCCTCCAGCATTCAGTTTGTTCAATCCTAGGATGTACACTGAAATCAGATCATGTGCTTGAGCTTATCCATTCATACACAGGCTCACCATCTAGTCTTTCGCCTAATTTAATTATTTTCTATTTTTCCTTTGTTCATCCACTCAGAGAGCTCAGTTTTGGATATTTTACAGTAGTGCCACATTTCAAATTGTATATATGCTGAATAGTACCTAATCTTATACATCTTTGGTTAATGAAAGAAAGCATCAACACACTGCAGATGTCAGGTGTTTCGGTGTACAGCAGAGACAGGAAAACAAAATTGAGCAGAGCAAGCAACCAAGCAATGCCCCTCGTGTGAAATGACTTGCTCTTTCACTTACGAATCCTGCTCCTTATTTCTCTGTCCCCCTATTTTTCTTCCTCTTCTCTTCATTTGCCTCTTCTCCATGTTTTATGTTCTTCCTCTTTATTAGACATTTAGGCTGGTCAGGCACTCCCAAGAGTGATCATTATCAAAGTCACTCACATTTCCCATTTCATCTTTCTTACCATAAGGATGGCTCTTGTCACCAGAGAGAGGATGCCCAGATTCAAGAAAGTTGTAACTGGTCCCCTAGCTTTTGTGTCTCCCATAAGAGAGCATACAGGATAGAGTCAGCAGAACACGCCTGTAGAGGGTCTCTTTATCCCTGATAAAGTTTGCCATGGTAAAATGACAGCAATCTATTGGATAACTCAGACAAGTTCACAATGTTTAAAGACAAATGATTATCTTTTAAAAAATCAAGATAACATTAGTCAACTCCTTATCTATGAGTTATTTATTGGAAAAAAGTAATAAATAAATGCCCTAAAAGATATTTTTAAATAACCTGTTTTGAAATCAGCACATTTAAAAGAAAAAAAGCATATTCACAAATTCCACTGTTTCAAAGACATTTCCTTCTCTACACCTGAACGTATACATCAGAGAGCTCATTTAACGATGTCATCAGATAAAACAGACTTTTACATCTGTTACAAATTCATTGACCAGGGGCTCTTCCTTTGTTTAAGATTTCTGACATACAAGAAGTATAACAATTTCACGCTTTCTTGATAATTTTTTCTCTCCCTCTCATTTCTATTCCAAAGTTTCTCTGTTTCTATCCTCAATCAGTTTTAATATGTGGCATTTTTATAAGTCACATCTATTAACACTGTTGTCTTTTTCTTACAGACACTGTTTTAAACCAAGCCAAATGTTCATTTCAGTAAAAATTTTAAAAGTATTAGAGAGCTAATTCTATTTTTAAAATTATATGACAGTATAATTATCCCATAAAATTTGAAGCCTTTCAATTAATATCTTCATTGTTTAAGAAATCTATATTTTAAAAGAAGCGTTCTGAGAAATAAGGCCTTTTATAAGCAGTGAAATAAAATTTTTGAACTTCGGTGCCAAATTTTGCCCTTAATTTTTAAATATTTATATCTGCATTTCAAAGCTATTTCACCATTCATACTAAGTTGCCTTTTAAAATTAACCTCAATTATAATTTTTCAGTTTCCTCTAAGCATTTTTTCCTAATATTGGTAGAGCAATTAAATATAAGCCTAACACGTTTATCAATTATAAATCTATGTGGTCTTCAATAATGCATAATAATTAGGACACCAATATTCCTTATACCAAATGCATTCATGTTAATCACCCTGATGATTCATTAGAGTGACGAAGTATTGAATCAAAATGAAAAATAAAATTATCTTCAATAGAGAAAGGCCTTCCTTGGTTACAGGTTGGCCTGGCCTTCAACTAGGGAAGATTGCAGGTTGCCAAGTCACCATATTTAAATTTGCCAAGGGATATGATTGCTAAAGGCTTATAATATCTTCATTTAAAGCAGTACCCTTGATTATCATTATTATGTATAAAGTGCCCCAAAAGCACATTAGTAAGCAAATCATTCCGAACCCCTTTGACAATGTTCTATGTCCTGTACAATCCTTACTTACATTATCCTAGTCTTCCTAACACTCATCTTTGAGTCTTTGGTATTTTCTTAAATATACCTTTGGCACCTAGTTTTTCCAATCTGTTTTATCAGTTAATGACAATTCTTTAAACAATATGATCCATAGGACAAAACTCCAGACATTAAAATCAAACATCTCACTCAAACCTCAAAGAACATCATGAACTGCTTCAAACAATTTCATTAATCTATCCAACTTGTTAAATAATTATCTTTCAAATTGCAAAATATAGGGACTTATCTAAGCGTCACCACTAAAGGCATTCTGAAACGTTTTGTCAAATAGTGAATGATCGACCATTATACAAAAATCAGTGCAACGTTTCATCCAGGCAGCTTTAAATGCATTCTTTGCTAGATGAAGAAATAACATCACGTAGAATTTCTGTTGTTTTCACCAATTTTTGAAGATAAGGTTTCTAAAATTTATCAACCCACTAAAAACAAATTTTACCTGCCTACCCTTTTCCTGAGCTTCACAGCCTATAAAAAAGACATCATAAATAAAGTTTAAACTCTTACCTAAAAGCCCACCACAAATTTTAACCAACCCCTACAACTTAGAGATAAGCTCAACTTCCAGGCTACTTTATTAATCTCACTTTTAAAGAGAAAAGTCTACCAAGCCCAAAAAATAAAATTAAAAAAATAAGAAAACAGTAAAATGGATCAGTTTGGAGTAATCTGGTTGTTACATTCAGCAGTTAAGTTGCAGTGTATGTTTGCCCCATCTTGAATTGCCACCTAATGGTAAAAGGAGAATGATGTCAAACAATTATTTGGCACATGCTTGACAAGCCAAAGCATTTCAGAAAGAACCAATCCTTCCTCTTGTCATTTACAGAAAATTAAATTCATCCCACCCTCAGGGACACAACATTATCAATTTAATCTGTTACTCTGTTACATTCCACTAAGAGTGGCAGAATTTGAAAACAAGGGGGTTAAAAGTTTTAATCTGTATAACAGCTTGATCTAGGTTCCTTACTACACTACATACCTTATCTTAAAAAAAAAAATCTTTGCTTCTAAAGCACTAATTCACCGCTTTATAATATGTGAACAGATTTTCAGTTCAATTTGATGATACTAAGGACTGCTGAGTAATAACCATGGCTCTCTCCAATCAGTTCAGCATGCATCTCATCTTTGATATCAAGTGCACTGGTAGTGCCTTATATTAACATCTTCACTATAAACAGTTCAGGCATTTAGAAACAAAGTATCAATGGACTTAATAATTACTTTAATTCATTTTATAAATAAGCAACTGAGAATTTTGCTCCAAGTGGCTGCTAGTGTAGCCCATTCCATAAATGGCATTCTCCGAAGCATAAGGCACAATATGATATGAATGCAGCTCTTCGTAATAGAGAGACTGAGAACAGCATTCCTGTACCATAAACTTCAGCCGTTTTCTTGTATCAGAATATGCAGTCTTATAACAGGGAGCTTCTTTAAAGTATTCATAGCTCTCTTTCTCCGTCTCTAGATGTATCTTCCTCAGCAAATTGTTAATTAACACAGACCTTCTTAAGTAGGTTTCTGGGTCTTCAAGAAACCTGAGCTTCTCCAGAGAAAGTTTGAGAATGCAAGTCCTATCCTCAGGTAATATCAGGTGCTGGAAAGCAAACACAATCATTAAATCTACATGTAGAAAAATGATAACTAGAGCTTTTTGCTATTGAAAATATTCATAAAATGAAAAAAATAATAAATAAATCCTTACTTTTGGAAAACACCCATGGTAATCTTGATGTAAATCTTCTTCTTCTGCATATTTTCTCTTAAAGTAGGCTACTTTCGACGTTGTTAATATGTATGTTAATACTTTTGTTGGATAAGCTGAACAAATAAAATAATTGGAGAAAAGTCAGATTTTATTGTGGCAAAGAGTATTTTATAATATAAATTCTACTTGCAAAAAATTTTTCATAAAAAGAAATTGGTGGCCCCTGAAATTGGTATCCTCTCTTCAGTAAGCAACGTGGTGAAGCAGTCAGTGGCAATTGTCCTGTGATTAAAAAGTCTGCAGGCAGGAAAATGCCACCATGTAGACCCAAAACAGATGCTCTAGTTGGAGATTTATGTGTATTTCCTTCTGCAGTCTTTCAGAGATCAAATAGCAGAACTCTGTTTCATTTCATTTCATTTCACGTTAAAACACACCTAAATTTGAAATTGATTTATAAAATGTAATGGGAAGAGAAAAGTAATTTTTTAAATCATTCTTTTAGTTAAAGTGACTAACACACAGTGGGAATTTAATGTTTCTGGGTCAATCAAATTAGCAGAATATAGTTGGTGACCCAATTGCATTTTAAAGAAGTAGTTATGTATCTATAAGCAAAACCCAATGATATGGTTTGTATAACCATCATCCTAATGGATTAACGGAGGTAAATCATAAGTAAATGAAAGATTTAGGTAATGTTCCGACTAGCAAATTTGACTTTGGTATAATATCTGAAAATGAAGACCTCTGTTTTTTCCTTTAAAATACTATTGCTATTGAGGATTCTGACTTGTTTACTGAAGGACAGAGTTCCTAAAGCAGATATTTCAGGGAATTCCTAGGGTGTACTCTAGGTGGCGCTCAGATCACAGGAAGGAGGCAAGATCAACCTTCAAAGCAAAAGACAAGTATGCCTCCTAGTGAAAGCACTGAATGAATTTGCAAAGCAAAATGCATGCAGTTCAGTACTCATTCAACCTTAGGGGGCCAGACCAGAAAAAACATCATTTATTTTACCCTCAATCCATACCCTCAGATATTTCTGTGTTGAAAACATTTAATTCACAAAATAATGAGTGGTTTATTAAGGGGTTGGTTAAATAAATTTACGGTTAAGACATGCGATCCTTTTCCTCTAAAATCTTAAATATTTTAAAGCTTAAAATAAAAATGTGCTCTTCAAGAACCTGCCTTTTCTAGTTTTTCCTCCAATCTGGTGGACTCTGTATAAAGCTTCCTGCAGCTTTTTGTAGTTGGATGGTGTTCCTTGAACCAGCGGGAAAGGTTACAGAATTATGCCTTGAGCATTCTAAATTTCCACTGGTATCACTGTGGATTATAAACCCAAGAGAGTTTAAGTTAGAGTTGGTATATTTTGTTAAGGGAATCAAGAACTTTAAACCACTGGTGTGTCTGACTTAAAAAAAAAAAAAGACTAATATGTAATGATCATTCAAAATTAAAGCAAAGACAATAGTTGCTACTACACGTACACAATTCCTGAATTCAATAAGCAAAACTCAGCTTACACAGAGTTTTCACTGAATTCAAAAGATTATGAAAAAAGGGAACACAAAATTGATTGTACAGAAAACAAAGAAAGCATCACACTCAACCCAGTTTTCTCAGGGGCTATTTTTTAGTAAACTGCATTTTTTAAGTGTATATTTAAAGGATGTAATCAAATAATTAGGTGAAGCTTTGGGTTATCCCATGTGACAGTTATCTTTACTTTTTACACTGTTTTACTAATTGATGTAATAGTGGTTCTCAAATGTTAACCAGCATCAGAATCACCCAGAGGGCTTGTTAATCACATATTGCTGGGTCCCACCCCCAGAGTTTCTATTCAGTAAGTCTGGACTAGCAGCAGAGAATTTGCATTTCTAACAAATTTCCAGGTGTTGCTGATGCTGCTATCTGAGAACTGCATTTTGAGCTTCTATGTTGCAGCATTAAGCAGGTGTAGTAGTAGCACTACAGCAGCAAGTTCAAAGTAGAACACTCAATCAACTGATTGCCCTATCGTCAGAATGCCAAGCAATTGGCTTGATTGATTTTTGTTGTTGTTGTCGTCGCTATTGCTTTCCTACACTGGCTTAGATGCTTTAGCGTCATGAACAAAACCAGACAGCATTTTAACTAAATAGTGAAGAATGAAGTCACTTTTCGACACGAATCCCTGCGTTCACATTAAGAAGCATCAATGACTGTTATTAGCATTATAGCTGGACAGTTCTGTTTTTTTTGTTGTTGTTGTTTTTAACAAGATGCAGTGAATTACATAGTGTATAAGAGAGGAAAGTCTTGGAAATTAGAAGAGTAACTTTACCATAAGCAAATATTAGTTTCTTACATCCATCTTTTTTAAAAGTCTGCTCATTGTCTTCCAAAGTAATATAATGTCTACAGCATTTATAATCAATTAAAAATCTTTTAATGGATGACACCAAGGGAGGGCAGGAGGCAGCTTGGAAAATCAAATGTTAAACATTGTTGTGGCTCCCAAGTGAACCTCCAGGGGATGTATTCTGACTTAATAGATCAACACAGAGATATATATACATATATTATATATGTAATATATAATATACATATATTAAAATATGTGTGTATATATAAAATTACACCAAGGTTCATAAAGACTCTGTCTGGCTATATTCAAGCAGCCTAAGCTATAGAATGTATCAGATCCCGAAAATACAGAGTAAATTCTCAGGAGATCTGGATTTGAGTCTCAGCTCCTCTGTGGGCAACACACTTAGCCATCTAATTTATTGTTCTTAAAAAACACCCCCACATGTGGTGGAAATTCTGAAAATCTTTCACAGCTGACATCAGTTTGACAGTTACCTCCCTACAAGCTGCTTTAGCTATTAGCAATGCTTTTGGCATCAAATTTTGGAGAATGGTTTTAGCCACTTTTAGGCAAACATAGTTCCTACATCTGTTTCCTTGGCTGGATTAGAACTCAAAAAATCAGAGCTGGAAACTATTTATTGATCACCTGGTTCAGCCTCCTCAGTGTACAGATGAGGAAACTGCAACCCAGAATAGTTCAATGATTCACAGTCTGGTGTGTGGCTAAGGGGTTTTTGAAGTCAGACAGATGTGGGCTTGAATTCCACCTCTGCCACTTCTTAGTTGTTTGACCCTGAGCAAATTACATAAACTATCCACAAAGCTCATTTGTAAAGTGGAGGTAGAAATACTGACTCATTAGATCATTGAAATAATTCATGGAAAGTGACTGGCACTGTGCTTAGCATATAGTAAGGACTCAATCAAATCCTAGCTCTTATTAGTGCCAATAGGCACAGATCTATCACACAGAAGCAAAGTCCAGCCTGGCCTCCTAGCTCTGATTTGGTTTATTTCCACCAGTTGTACATTTGGGGTGAAGAAAATGCAAATTATTTTTGAAACATCGAGATAATCATCTGGATAATTAATTAAAGTTAATCCGAATATCCAAAGAAGTTTGCCTGTTGTGATCCAGTAAAGACGTATAAAGGTGTTTACTATTCTCCCATGGCTAAAAAGCCAAACTCAACTCAGCCTGTTATTTAAATGAAGCTGATGAAATAGACAAGAAAAAGTAAAATGACTTTATGTCTTCGTATTCAACATCCTGAGCTCTGAGAACAGTATGTAAATTATAAAACTGAATTAGACTGAGCCTAAATTTATTTCTGAAGGTGAAATGGCTAATGCTGGTTTGAATACACAAATTGTTTGTAATGCTGTAACCTCTGGGCACATAAAATATCTGTGCCAAGCACTGTGCATTTCACAGTATAAAACTTCAACAAGCAACAAATTAAAAGTCATAGAACAGAATGACCATCCCTGTCACTAGCATGCTGGCAGTACAATTTATACATATTTCCTTAAATAAATGTTTAAAATGTAATTACAAACGATTGCTCCAATGCTCCTCCTTATTGCTCTGCTTCTGCCTCCAGACAACTAAAATCCTATTATTGTAGAAGTGATTTCATTTGGTCCACGGCCCAGGGATAGTACATTAAGGAAACATCATCAGCAAATTAATTTACAAACGCTTTGAAAGAATGGACAGCAGGAAAAGAACAACTCCCGTCATAGTAATCCATTCTCTCTTCACGACTAAAAAGCCTGAGAGATGGTGAAGTGATGACTTTAACACATCTTAATTTTAGTAGGGTTTTCATTTTCTCCCCCACAACATTTTATCAACACATTGCAAAAACAGCGTTGAAATCGTACTATTTGATGTGTGCATCCTAGCCACAGACAGATGGGGTGGAGGCTGATCGATAGGCAGAAATGCGGGTACCACCTCCAATCAACTGACTTGTGCTGTGGACAAATCATGTGCCTCAGCTTCACAATCTCTTATTGATTTCTCTTTGTGTGGTGTGAGTCTAGCATAAGCCTTAAAAAGTAAAAGTGTCCCTATCTATCTGAATAATGCTTTGCTGATGGCAAAGCTACCGGACATCCTTCCTCACGGGCCATGCCCACTTTTGTTTAGATTTACCCCATCTGTCACTGTTGACCACATTCTGCAGTCTTGCTACATGGCTTAAAAAACTTCAGTATAACCTTCTAGTGCTCTCCCTCAGCGCTAGATCTACAACTTATTTACTTAGTAATTTTGGGCAAGACACTTTAGCTCAAAAAGCCTGAATTTTCTCATCTATTAAGTGGGGGAATAATATCAAGTTTATTGAGTTGTATATGAATTACATGACATGATGTTTAAAAAGCACTTAGTGCTGGTCATATATGCTGATATTTTCTGCTCGGTAAATGTTATGTATTATTACTGTAATAATAATACTTCACTTGCGAAATCATAAATATATATCTTACTCGCAGGACTATGTTTTTGTCCACTCTTTAATGTTAAGCACTGGTTGCATGAAATATTCATGAGAGCATTCAAGAAAGTAGACCAGGGCAAAGTTCAAGGCCAGAATGCTGTGCCTTCCGCAGACCTTTGGCTTTGTTGATGTTTCACAATTTCCCATCAGCCATCTTTCCTCTCTCTTGTAACCCCTTGCCTAGCACCTTTCTGGATAATATGCTGTATGGGAGCAGAACTCAGTGCCAGTTTTTAGCTATGAATCAATGAAGCAATCTGTTTCGTCAGATTTTTCATCTACCCAAAGCACAATATTGACTTTACTGGCAGTTTAGCATTACCAACAAGTTGTAGCTCCTGGAAGACTTTCTTAGGAACTTCCAGGGATGCTGACAGCCAATGAGTGAGAGGGTTTATCAAGGTACCAGCAGCATTTTTTGGTACTAGATTCCATGTCCCTTAGGTCTGCCCCAAGCACAGGCATGGAATATTAAACAAAACGCCACCAGTCCACAAGCCTATTTTGTTGCACTGGTGATGATCTCCGAACCAAAGAGAACACTGTTAAGTGGGAAATGACCAGCCATCTACTCATGAAGTTACTTTAGATGCTGCACCAAAGTCAACCTCTGCCATGATCTGGCCCTACTAATAACAGAGGCCAACTCCTCATTCCCCTAAAAGAGCATTTCTTGTTTTGAGGGATGATGCTCCCTTTTACTCCACCTTTCACCTAGGAAGGTGGTAATGAATTATAAATAAAATTGGCCAAGCAATCACATTGCTGGATATGGGTTCTAAGAAATATTTTACCAATAATACCTACAGAGATGCTATAATTTCTCTAAATATCCAGGATGTGATCTCAGAGACAGGGGTTTTAGTCCATAACCTATGAATGACAGTGGCTTTTTGAAAAGTACCTGACCTTGATCACCACATCGTCCTCTACTTTGGTATCCCCACCACCACACCTCATGTTTAGGCAGATCAATAAAAACATTTATCCAGGCCAATGTTGCATCTGGGATCCCAGAAGGGTTGTGGAAAAACACAAGATAGTACTAATTATTAACTGTACTCATTAAGAACACATGAAAATTTGTTTTAGAGTTGGGTGATTCTCTGCCCTCACTCTTATGGTACCTGATTTGTGTTCCTACCTGGAGTTGCTCTAGTGGTGAAATGATCTTCATTTACAAGATACCCTTCTTCTAACGAGCTATAGGTGCTTCATTAAATTGCACTGTGTTCAAGCTCAAGCAATTCACTTAAGTTAATGGATGGTCTTCTTCCCCACATTAGATATGGAGAAAGTGCTCCATACAGGAGTAAAATAAGTGGTGCATAAAGACAGAGTCAGGACTCTAGGCTCTTGAGTCCTGACTCTCTCTGCAGTATTTCCAACTTTTCTTGATTTTCCTAACCCATGCTCCCTTTTGATAGGCACTTAAAAAATAATACCCACTCTGATATATCCCCACAGAGAAGATTTCCCAGCCCAAAGTCATCCCTTTGCCCCTGCTAAGCACCACTGATACTTAGAGGGCTTTTGTATCTCTACCAAGGAGACTTTTCATTGCACTTTACTTTCCATAGTTATTTTGTTTGTTTTCTAAATATAAGGATATATTACAATACTAGTAGACCTTTAGATTCTAAGTGCTTTTCGTTAATATCTTCCCACCACCCCTGCTGAGAATTGTTGCAATATACTGCAGAGGCTCTGTTATTAGCCTGTTTGCATAAATATAATTAGGAAAAAAAAGAAAATATAAAAAATAATTGTTAGATTTAAAAGGGGAAATAATAATGTATTGACATGACTTAGATAGACTATTTATTTTTTTGAAATAGAGGAAAAAGAGAATTGACAAGATTTGGCTTTTCCCCAAACCTGAAGGTATTCTTCTTTAGTCATAGTGCTGGATAGTTTTCATCAATTGACTCCTTCCTCTGCTTTTGAGATAGTTATTTTATTTCAGCTTCTCCTAGGTTTCTGAAACATATTGCTTCAACAAATAGAGCAATCTGAACTGGTTATTACTTGGCTTTAGCGTTATTTGTTGGGATGTCAATGTTTTGACAGCTAAAGCCAGATGGAATGAGTCACCCGTAGAGAGCCAAAGTGTAGAGCTAGGGGCCTCTATTTCTTGATAAAAGTTTTCCACATTTCTCTGTGTTTTAAGACATCTAAATCCCATAAAAGTCAGATAACATTAAATTGAACATGGAGTTTTCACACACACCTAAAAACTTCCAAACAGAGTATATGAGGAAAGAAGACCGAAATTAGAGCTTGGTTTCATTGTTAATTGTCTTGATCTCAGATTTATTCAAGCCTTATACTCCTAAGTACATGCCCTTTTTATAACCCACAATATCGACAAATACAGCTGGTGTTCACATTGATGAGGGTGACTAGATCCTTAAATACAAACTGGTGAAATTTTTTTTCATACTCTAACTTTGGGCCCACCAATGTCTCCAGGACTAAATGTTTATATTATAATGGTACCATTTGATTTAGGTTTATTTGTTTAAAGCTAAATACCAAAACAACATGTTCTGATGAATGACTTGTTAAATCTGTTCATCAAAATTGCTCAGTGTACATTCTACATATTACACATTCATGATAGAATCAAAATTAAAATTTAAGGACCTCTTTCACTTGACCTTTTTGATTATGACAGTGGTCTCAATGAAAGTGCAGACTAGTTCACATAAATTAAAGGGCACTGAATTACTTTAAGATTCTATGCATATTACGTAAGAGAGAGGATGTGTATAAATTACTAATGCACAAGACATGCATATACATGATCCACTAATTGTGGCTGCTTAAACTTTCCTCGGATGGATTGATAGCGTGAATGGAACTCTGTACATATCTCATGGCAGATGACTGTAAATCTTATTGGTCTCTTTGGGTTTATTTCTCACCACAAATATAGTAATTATGATGGAGAAAGAAGGGTGGGTAGTGCTAAAGACTATAGAAACCAACATTTTTGATGGTTTAGTCATCTTTAATGCTTAAAATTATTAAGCTACAGATATTTCAATAAGTGACTACAGAGACAGATAATTTTAAAGTCTCATGATATTCATAAATCTATATCACTAGGCCAGAATAAACTCAAATAGTTTTCTGAATACAATTTTTAAATTATTTATTTGTATAAAGGGAGGTAGGTAACAGGAAGAAATGCAGCATGGTATATTTTCATGAATTTGATTGTAATTTGCTATTCTGGTTACCTACAGGAATTGCACATGGGTGGCTCAGTACATGTGGAAGTTATACAATGCTGAAGGCTGAACTCATTAGAAGACTGTATTCAGTCGTGCAGATTGCATTTAAAATGTTTAACATTCATAGGTTTCTATCATCATGACCTTAATGCAAATTAAATTTAAAATATGACCACAATCTCTCTTTGCAACTTGAAGAGTTCCCTCATTTCCTCCATTCAGATATGCACTAGTGTGCTCAGAAGGCTTCAGCTTGACATGCTCCCAGAGCCAGGCTACCTAATTTGGCTCACCCTATTCACGTGGGTGTTAGACAGGAAAATCTGCCAGCCCACAAATGTCCTTTTTGCAGAAAACCTCTATTGACTTCTACCCAGCAACCATCTATATAAACAACCCTTACATTGATCTCGTAAGTTATGGTAATGCTACAGTACCATTTATTTCTCTGGATACATATTTAAACAGTAATTTCTTTTAAGCTAGTGATTACCTGGTAATGCTGAATCAATCTGAAAGGTATATTTCTGGGACAGCTTCAGAAAATCTGGTGAAAGTTCCTCTTTGCACAGAGAGCATTTCTTACAGCCTCAGGCTCATGAATGGTTACCTGAGATCTTGAAACAAGGAGACAGACACAAATAACATCAGAGGAGTCAGGACGGCACTGACATAACCTGGCTATTAAGTCAGAAAAAAGCATGCAATAGGAGAACACCAGCTCTAAGATGTTTGAGGTGGGGTTGATCTGGACTAGATAGATAATCCTTTTAACACATACAATCACTTTACTGTTCTCCAGATTTAGGTTTAAGCATGAGGAATCTTAACTATCCTAAGAAATTTGGAAATATCTGAACAACTGATCTCACCAGTTATTTACTTTGGAGATTATTTTTAAAAGATTAACAGTAGGTTGATTTAAAGAAAAAATCAGAGCCGAATATCCTTTGTTTTTAAATGCCAGATTTTGTATAATTTTAGGAAGTATTCCCTCTAAAGTAATAAACCAGCAGTTAACTCAAAACAGACTAACTCAACCTTTCTGTGGAATATACTCTCACAAGACTGAAATAGCCAAATGCTACCTTTTCTTTGAAGACAGTTTTTCTTTAAAGGACCGTGTTTTACTGCACCTTTTCTACATAAATGTATGCTTACAGATCTCATCACCTTCTATATTTAGAGAGATGAGCTTTCCGAAGGAAGATAGGCAGCCAATGAGGAAGATCCCATCAAAAGAGAGGTGAGTTACTATGGTTACTTTTCAGGAGGTTGAGTAACAGGGAACAGCTGCTCCTGGCCAAACAGACCCTTTCCACAGGAGGACCCCAAAACAATGTTGCTCTCCATACGTGTTGATTCAATTAGTCGAGACTACACTGTGTTATTTCAGCCTTAACCACAGGCTTTCTATGGGCACTTGCTGCTTCCAGCTCTCCTGGCTGCACACAGGCAGCAAAGTAAAGGAAAAACAAGGAGGACTGAAAACTTCCGAACGCCAACCTAACAGCGATGAGCAAGAGAATCCTCAAGAACCATCCCATGATTTAAAAAAAAATCAAATCAGGATATTTGGGACCAGCAGCTGACCACACTTCAGTGGCTGGGGGCGGGGTGGGATCCCAGAACACGTCCCTGTCCTCCCCTCAATGAAACGAGTCTTGTCTGAGCCTCTGAGGAAGGCACCTGGCTGGATCAGTCCAGACATACCTTGCGAGCTGGGTCCACTCACCAGGACTTCGGCGCATGTACCTGTTTCCTAAAGGCGCGGGGTTCGGTGCTCACTCCTGTTTTTGCGGCGCTGTCACTCTTCAGACCAGGCTGACAGTGACAGCGACGGCGGCGCGACAGCGGCAGGGGGGGCAACTGCAGCTCGGCGGGCAGCCCTGGCTCCTGCAGGTCCGTCCCTCCCGTCTCTGAAGCGCCTCTCACTCCGGGTTCGGAACGCGAGGCGGGCGCGCAGCTCTTCTCGGCTCGCATTGGACCAGAGGGAGCAGATGTTAGTCGGTTGCTAGGAGCGTTGCTAGGAGACGATGACGCCCCTCCAGAGCTCGCGAGCAACTTTCTTGTAGGTCGGGGGCGCCGGCGGGGGCTGCTGGGTGGCCGGGCTGAGAGCAGGAACTCGGAGGGGCAGCGAACAAAGAGCCCCCAACAGAGGGGTCCCGGCCGCGCGCGCTCGGGTTGGGTTGGGAAGAGTGGGCGGGGAGCTGCGAACCGGGGAGAAGCGCGAGCCTGGGCAGGGCACGGGAGCCGCGCCGCGGGGAGGCTCTCTCTGCGTGTCTCCGGTGGAGGTCGGGTCTGGGGGCAGGGGTGGGGCGGCACCTCCAGCGGCTGAGGAAGCAGCAGGATTTGGTCAGTGTCTTTTAGACCTCGATACTTCCGCTGGGAGACTCTTCTCCCGGGAAGGGAGGAAGGAGTGTTTGTCTGTGTGACCTGCGGTGAGGCAGAGCGGGAAAAGCGGTATAGAATCTTCTGCCTTCTGGGACTCTCCTCGCCAGAGTGTTAGGGTTTGTGTCTGCAGCTTTGAGCAGTTGACAGATTTTGACTAATGCGTGAAAGTAAGCCCAGAGTCTCATTCCTTTTGACGCTATGTGTGGCTGCCTGCTGGCATGGTGCCAAAGATTTCAGAAGAATGTTCCTGGGACCTAATACTTCCTTGACACAGTTAAAAAGTCTTCGTTTTGATCCTACAGCTAATGAAACCCTCAGACTAATAAGGAAACTTCTTTAAAATGAAAGTGCACATAAGTAAAGGTACTTTTCACAAAGGAGACAGGACGTTTCAGTCATTTACACATTAGTATAAATTTACCCAAAGGATGATTGTATTATTTCTGATATCTCATTGAAACTATGTTTTTGGTGGTTTTTTAAATCATTGTTTTTGTTGTCGTTAAATACAGTTGTTTTCTTGGGGGGAGGGGATGATTAGAATATCAATGTAAGTAAATTTGGGTATCCGGTGAGCCAAATTAAAGAAGGGGAGATGAGACACCTAGTAGCAAAATTTTGCTCAAAGCTATGCTCGGAGAGAGAATCTCACTGAAAAACAAGTACACTACTCCCTGGCTCCCTACAGAGTCAGGCCAGGGCCTGGAAGGAAGAAAGCACCATTGGGAATCAATTTTAAAAAGTTGCTGTCTTTGGAAGCAGGGAAGGGCTGCTGTGCGTTATGTTGATTCCTACGGTGGCAGGCGTTCTTCGAGGTGGAAGGGGCTATACAAAGTGGCCCTACAACGCTCAGGGACCCCTGCTCCCTCAGGCACCTTAGCAGCTACTTAACGCCTATGGCAAAACTTAGAGCTAACACTTTGTTAACAGTAAGGTTTAAAAAGCCTATAACCTAAAATCAAACTGTCTGAAGAATTAATAATGAGCCAAAATGGGTTGCAGATCTAATGATAAAGTTTCAGCTACCAGGTATGAAAGGAGCCTTTGAGACTGGTACGCCTCAAATGCAGGAGATGGCCACAGCCAGAATCACATCACAGCTACTTCTTTCTTATTTGCAGTAAGGGAAGAAAGGAGCTATTTCAATTAGCCTTGCCTTCTTGTCCAGCTCATCTCAGGAGACTCTCCCCCTTGCTCTTCAAGCAAGACTCACACTGGACTTTTTTTCAGTTTCCTTGGATGGGAAGGTTCTCACTTGCCTCAGGTATTTTGTGCATGCTGTTTCTTCTCCCTTAATGTGTCTTCCCTTCCTCTGACTTACTCCTACTCAGCCTTCAAGTCTCAGCTTAAATATCACTTTCTCAGAGCATCTTCCCCTGACAGCCTCCCACCGACTAGTTTAACCCCCTAATTACATTCCCAAATCATCCTACCAATCCCTTTCACAATATGCATTACATCAGATTTTAAGCTAGTTCTACCTGGTTAAATAGTGTCCCCAGTGTCTGGCACACTGTGCCTGGTATATTAAAAGTAACCAAGAGCACATGGGAATAAATAGATTCACCCTGCCTGGCTTGAGGTCCCTGTTTTCACCTTAGCTATGTAAATATTAGTAAGCTTACACATACCATGAAGGCAGTCACTAGTTCACCTAGAAGGGGAGTGGGGGAGCCTATTCTACAAAATATAGTTTCCTCCTTTAATGAGACATTGTGTTTATACAAAAACTTCTTTTCCTTCTCAAAGCATCTTAAAAGTCACTAACTGGGTTTTAATAGCACTGGGCAACATGCAACCCACAGTCATTTATATGATTTCCAATTCTCTTCTCTCTGTGTCCTCCAGAGTGGGTGTGGGTCCTCTGAGCTGAACTGTTTCACCTTTGCTTAAAATACTCCTCTACCTCAGGTAAGAGCAGATTCCATAATCATATGATTTCTCATTGGAGAAAAAAAAAAACTATCTGGGGAGCAACTGGCTAACTTGACCAATATGTAGAGTACTTCTAGTATTATACTTTATCTGAAGAGACCAGGAAACCTTTCCTGTTGTCAACCTAACTCACCAAATAATTGCCAAATCCCCTCTTCATATGGGACCACCTCAAGAAATACAACAGATGTTGGAAGAAATGAAGGAAAGGTCAAGGTAATCTTAAGATCACAAAATTGTTTGATGGCAAAACTGGAAATAGAACACAGGGAGGAATTTAACCCTTACTGAACTATTTACATCTGTAGATACAATTTTATAAACTCTGCAATTCTTCTGGTAAATGATTAGAACAAATATTTCCCTAAATAATTTTGGATTTTAAGTTAAATACTAAAATACCATTCAATCTACCTTAGAATTTATCGAAATTCACACCTTCTCACCCCTGAGCCTTGTTCCTCCTCCAGATGACCGCAGATGAAATGCTAATCCTGTCTCCTACTCCTTATCTGTTTGCTGAAAAGAATGAGATGTTTTCTTATGTAGGGTATGCACATTACAATTCATCAGAGTTCTGAAATGTCACCCCATCTTCCCCTTGAGCCATATATCTGAGTTTTCCTGAGAAACCCCAGGGAGACTATGAAACTTATGACATTTAATGTAATTTGATTCATCAATAAAATGCTAGTCAAAATGGTTAAAAAAAATTTTAATTACTACAAAAGACAAAAAATAAAAATAAAGAACAAAAGAACCAGAGTCTTAGATGGCTGTCTCAATTTTAACATTTATGGATGGGTAAGCCTCTGTTGAAGCAATGTCAGAAGATAGCAATCATTTGTCAAGTTTTAGGTTCTGCAGATGATGTACTTACACTAAGATTCATATACTAAAAAACCTGTTCCCTCTGCATTATTCTTTTGATCATAGTTTTATATTATTTTCTTTGGTGTTTTTAATATGTCATATATGTACATACTTACTAGTGCACATACACATGTAGAAATGCCCAACCTTGCTCAACCTACCAGCTCAAAATTATTTTCCCTGAGGCTTTGGAAATATGAAAACTCAAATGGTCTTTATTTGCAACAGCACCTCCATAACAGTGTTGAAATGCTCTAAATCTAGCATGACTATGGGTGATGAAGTAGAATCCTTCATCAGCCCATAATGTTATAGTGTTGGTTAGGAAGAATTTAAGTAACAAATGAGCTTGCCATTAGCAAACTTCCTATAAATAATCACCCCTACCATCACGGCATTGGAAAGAAGAAAAAGATGTAAGTGTGCCAGATACTGCCTAGATTCTTATCAATGCTGTTTTAATTGGGGGAGGGGCAGGGGGACACAAATAAACTACAATTCCCAGCCTTCTTAAATATAGGTGTAGCCATGTGATTAGTTTTAGCCAATGGAGTTTGGGCAGAAGTGAAGATTGCCACCTCTAAGCCTGGCCCCTAAAACACATTTGATTCTCATGCCTTTTCTTCCTCTTCCATTGCATGGCAATATACTTGTATTCCTTCAGAGTCCATAAGGACTCTGAGATGGCCAAGTCATAAAAGGAGCTTCAATCCCTGAGATGCTGCTAGAAAGCAAGCTGCATGAGTAAAAACATCCCAGATTAGCCAGAAATAAACTTTTCTTATGGTAACACACTGACATTTAGGGTTAAGACAAGTCATTATTAATCACTTCCATAATGTAATATGTAAAAATAAGTTGTCCCTGAAACATGTATAGAATTTTTTTTTCTGTTTTCTTTTTTGGGGATGTCAGCCATGGTTTTAATGCTATGGAGGTGTCCGATTATAAGAGCTGGCTCCCTCTACTTCTAGCTTGCTGCAGCTGAGCCTTGTCAACTTATTAAAACTGGGTATACATAGAGAAGAAAGGGACAAGAGCCTCTTTGATGATAAATTTTCTACACTCATCTTACACGGACACCTACATTTTACCTTCTCAGAATCTTCTTCAGATGCAATTTAGTTAATTCAGGTGATCTTTAAATTTATGTAGCTCCTTATTTAACATATATTCTTATTTTAAATTCAATACTAGCATTTGAGCTGCTATATGTTGATTTGTATCCGTGTTCACCATAAAGCCTACAGCACTCTGAGACCAATAAATTAAATGCATCATAAATGTAATGCTTAGAGTTCTAATATATATGTCTGCAGTTGCTATGGTTTTGAAGTTAATGGTTTTTGTATATACTAAAATAAGCAATATCATTCGGTCCCATAAAATTTGCATGTTGATACTGCAAAGCTGTATCTTTTTTAAAATAAAATTTTCACACATGTACATATAAGCCATCTGCTAAAACTTTATTGATAAAACCAGTAGCAGCAGTTTTACAAAATCGGAATGATTTTCAGTTTTCAACTATCATGAATTCAGTTGCAGCAGACATTTTGTTCGAACTAGGGCTAATGCTTCTTCTATGTTTCTGTTTTAGACAAAAAAAGCAATTAGAATTTATCCTCATGCATTTAAATATCTAATATAGAAATAGATTTTAGGCTGCATAAAATATGCTTTCCAACATCACTGTGAGACTGAACATCTGC